GAGTAATTGTTGTTGTGTTAGATAGCAGGACTCTGCTTCTTGAATGGCCTGAAGTTGTGTCTGAGGAGGTTTAGGCTGGATATTAGGAAAAGGTTCTTCACCCAGAGAGTGCTTGGACACTGGAATAGGCTCCCCAGAGAGGTGGTCACAACACCAGCCTGACAGAATTCAAGGAGCATTTGGACAATGCTGTTAGGCATATGGTGTGACTCTTGGGGTATCCTGTGTAGGGCTAGGAGTTGGATTTGCTAATTCAACTCAGCATATTCTGTGATTCTGTAAGTCCTGGGGCTTGACTTCATCATCTGGATGTGCCTGCTCAGGTTGATCACAACACATCTGTTTCCACAGCAAATGAGTCATCTGTTTGTTGCATTGTTGTGTTTGTCCCTTTGTCATCATGGTAACTGTTGCAGGTTTTTTTTACTGAGCCTTATGCTCAGCTTTAGGGCTGATCCCAGCCTTTCCTTTCATGCAGTCTTTTACAGGTCAATGATGAAACTAGTTTCATGTTTAAAAACCCAAACAAGAGCAAAAAGCTCAGCTCCAAGCCTGATTTTTTCTGAGCTAGTGAATGTCACAGTTCCAACTGAAGCATCACATTCAAAAAGGAATAAAGAGAGCAGCTTTTATTATTTTCATGATGCCTCCTGCTTCTAGCTGCACTACAGCAGTCCCTGTCTGTCTTTCTTCAAGTTCTGCTCACTGAGCTGCTACCCAGTCCCTGCTGTCTCTCTTGCTTCTCTGCTCCACTTTTCATTTTTCTTCATTCCCATTTTGTTTATCTCTTGTTCCACCCTCCCATTTCCCAATCTCTTTGCCTCTGGCACTCTTAGAACAGCAACGCCCACAGTGCTGATTAATCTCTTAACAAACCTCAGATTCAGTAGCAGGAGTTGGAACTCTACCAGGTTTTGGAGAAGACTCTGACCTTCATCCTGGACTGCCTCAGCTGGACTCAAACATGCCAGAAAGGAGGAGATGCAATTGCTTTAATGCTTTTCATCTGTTAATCTGGATGATTCACTTCAGAACTGTGACAATTTCTGTAACCCTACATTTGAGCAGTCTCTTGTGACTCTTCTTATTTTACACACCAGTATTCCATACAGGAATGAGAGAATGGAGGACACCAGGACCTCTTCAGGAATGTGCAGAGGTGGATGGTTACAAACAGTTGTGTTGCACAAAATCTGTGAACCTTAGTGAAATGAAATCTAAATATATAATCTTATATTTCATAATAGTGCAAAATCAAAATTTAAATTGCAGTCAGCAACTTGCACTGTAGGAATATCAGCAATAGGAACCATATGGAACTTTCATACCATCTCAGTAATATTTTATCCCCAAGTTCCTTGTTTCACCAGTTCAACTGGAGAATTCTTAGATAAATGTGCATGCATTCTCTGTGAATAACTATTTCTGGAATCCTAAAACACACTCCTGTTGATCTTTGGCAAGCTGGCAAGTTGTGTCCTGCTCTTCAAAACAGGATGAAGACTATTTGTGGTCTAGTTTGTCATCTTAAGTTAAGCAAGAGATGAGAACAGGTTGTCCTGAAAGGGTGTGGATGCCCCATCCCTGGAAGTGTTCAAGGCCAGGTGCCCTGACCACTCTGATCTGGTGCCTGACATTCCTGCCCATGGCAGGGGGGTTGGAACCCCCCTGATCTTAAGGGCCCTTCCAACCCAAGCCATTCTATTATTCTAGGAGTTCAATCTCTGATGGTGCTTTTAAGCTGACTCTATCTTTACCAAGCAGTCTTCAGTTTGAAGAGGAATTGTCCTAATGTTTTTATTTCTTCAGCATGAGAATTGCAAGGCTGGATGTCAGAGCACTGCTGCTTCTTTCTGACATAAACTGCATGAAAGAAATAACCTACAGCGTTTTTAATTTATGGTATTCAATACCGGGATATTTTTATTACTCTGGAACAGAGACTATGGATGCCAGTGAGACGCAAATTTTAAATGAGTATATACTTTCCAAAATGAATTCAGTTTGTGACCTCTGTTGATCCTGACTCGGTGCCAGCTATTTTTGAGTTGGTGTCAGCAATATTGATGCCATATTTATCAGGAGCTGAATGACAAGATGAGACGATCACAGTGCTTTTAGGTGGCAATAGTGATTGAGCTGGGTTAGAGCAGGAAGTGTAGATGCAGGATCAGCATTTCACTCCTCATCCCTAATGTTCTGCTGCTGCTTAGGCCTTTCTCTGTTACAGTGCCTACTGTCAGGGTGGCCTAGGGAAAGACAATAAGTCAGACAGATTTCTGACTGACTTTTTTATTCACTTTCCCTGATGCCTGATGAAAAATCGTTGTATCATTTGCCATGGAGCTGGTTCTCAGGTGTTAGACTGAGTTTTATGCTCCAAGATAGTTATTCCTGTCATGATAAAAGCCGCTTAAGCAGGGATGTCTTGTTACTAAAACTAAACTGGTTTAACTTCATGGTTTAATAATTCTGATAATAAGAGAAGTAATAAGTGTGGCAAGAATCACCTACTGAAAAATTATTCTCAAATTCAAATAAAGTAAAAGTTTAGACTGTTTAAACATTTATTTCCTTATATTGAGTTCAAGGAGGGGGTGGTGGTATCAAAACAGCAGAAAACATAGCTAGTTCTTGACAAACAGTACTGAAGTTCAAGAATATCTAAGCAGCAAATAGGTCTAGAGTTTTTTTGTCTTTATTATTTATAGTTGTTATCTATGTGGGTTTTATTGTTCTGAGAAATTACTTAAATCTGGGTGATTCTTAGCAACATATATTGTGTCCTGGTCTGAACTGGACAAACTGCTCACTGACCTTGAAGCCTGCAATGTTTTTGCATCAAAGATAAGTTTGCTTGCTTCTTGGCATACACATCAGGAGTACTGTAGAAAAGACTTGAAACTCACAGGAAATATGAAAAGCTGAATGAAAAACAAATAGAGTTAATGTCTTTGTTTAATGCATTTCTAAAATGAAAGTTAGGCTTTAATTTCTAAAATGCAAGTTTGCACATTAAAGCTCTCCTCTTCCAAAGTTACCATTAAAAGAACAACTGTTTAGAGGTATTTGCTTACTGGCAAATTATTTATGGAAGCTATGTCTGTAGATTCCAGGTTTTTTAGCTACATTGTGCTCTGTCTGGGTCAGATTGACAGAGTTTTATTTTGCTGGGACTGAGCTGAAACACTTTGGAAGTGTTAGGTACCTAGTGCAGAAATTCCCTGAAGGTCTGTATGACGACAGCATTGCCTTCTTGGAAAGCCTCTCACAGATACCATGTTCTTTATATTCTCTAGAGTTTTAAGAATTAGTGGATTCTCTTTGTCTCCAAATAAAGCCAACAGAACTAATGCATGTAACAGCTGTGTCTATAACCACCTATTCTGCTTTTTATTTTACTTTACAGACATGAAGTCTGAACAGAATGTTAAGCAGCATATGAAGTTGATGTTTTAGTGACCCAAACAGAGCTCAGCATTGTACTGTCAGTGCTTATACATGCTTTGGCCCTCAAGATGCGCATTTTTCACTCTGTTGGACCAGATGCAATATCTTTACCTTATTAATGTGAGGATGTTTCCCTTTCTCATTCAGTTGTACAAATACACAAAATTATCTGCTTTAAAAGTCACACTTTTCTTGTACAGCATACCTGTGCAGAGCTAACTGAATAAGAGAAAATTTGAATCTTGGCTAAAGGTAATTTAAGGACAAGTTTTACAGATCAAATTTTGCTGTTTGATTTCATTGGGATTGGTACCTGAATGCTTTTAGCTTGCCCACCCACAACCACTCCCCCAAATAATTTGTAGGACTCAGGCTTCAACATAGGTACATAATTCATACAACATTTGGTAAGAGAGAGCTGTGAATAACTGAAGCAAAGGATGGGGAAATCTAAGCTGTAAAACCCACCTGGATTATGATGAGCTGTTCACAGGAACTCTGTGTTCTCTGAAAGTGGTATATAAGAAACAAATGTTAAATATTTTAACTCATGTTATTTAACATAGGTAATGGTAAACCCAGGAATAATTCATAAAAATGGATTCAGCTTCAGAAAAAAAAATTTTAGGAAATCCACAAAGTGATGGGAAAGTACATTACCATGACTGTAAAATCTCAAGGTACTGATGGAGAGCTCACACAAGGTCTTAATGCAAAAGCCAGGTGCACACCAGAGAGAGGGACACAGGATGGACTGGACCTGGGAGAATTTTTTTTCCATTTATTATCCTTATTATTAAGCACATTGTATGTTTTCCACTAATAGGGAGCCAGTTAGACAAAAGATGCAGCAGTACTAAAAGGGCACACAGGGGAGGGAGTTGGAGCAGTGCCCTTCTGCCCCAAGAGAGATCTCTGGCTCTCCTGTAATGGCTGAAATTCTTTCAAACACTCTAAATAATTACTCCATAAGATGATTGAAAAATCAGGAGAGTTTGCAGGGGAAGGGGCGATGGTGATGTTAGTTAATCAAAGCTGTCAACTGGAAAGACGTGGGTATGCCTAAAAAAGAGGAAGGGATTCAATGGAAAGAACAGATCTGTTTTTCTTTGTCAATTGTGGGCACCATGTGTTTAGTTACAGTGCTTTGTAAAACTCCAGCGTGCTAGGACTAAATGTCATGCTGATTTAGGATGGGCACAATCTCTTTAAACTTGCACCATTCACATTTAGGTGGAACTAGGAGAAAGATGAGAATTTTCTCTTTCTAAGTTGTAAGGAGCTCAGTAAGATAACTATTTAAAAAAATCATGGATAATATAATTTCAGCATACTTTATGTCTTCTCAATAGCCATATTTCATATGTTTTTTTTAATGTGAAAGTCTTTTTTTCATGAGTAGGATACAAGGGAAAATATTCAAGGTATGGTTGTTTTCTTCTAAAGTTTCACAGATGTAATTCTTATGTAAGCTAAGTTCTTCTGTTACCTGCATGGTGTGTTGTTCTTACACCAGGAAAACTGAATTCATGTCTCCTCATGTGTTTCAGGTCAGCAAATTCCACCCTTAGATCCTCATGAAAACAGTAACAATGGAGCAATCAAACTTGGAAGGCAGGCTTCACAGACGGGTAGGCGGTGCTGCTGACCCAACTTGATCTTTTCAGATTTACTTGAAAAACAGCACCATTTGCTTTTTTTTTCACTGAGAAAGGACTTCGTGATCTCAGTGACGTGGCTCCTTATCTTGAAAGCAGTAATTTCAATACTTCCCATGAGCAATAACGCAAGGACCAGAAGCAGAAGGCTTTACTTCAAAGGGATTTTGCAAAACCCAGTTGGAAAATCCTCTCTAATATCCTGTCAAAATTACAATGTCAGAGTACTCCGATTCTCTGTTTAAACCAGTGACTGGTTTTTTTTGGGGTTTTTTGGGGTTTTTTTAATAAAAAGATCAATTTTTAAATAAAATTTAGGCTTGCTGCAAAAACTTACTTTCTTACATTTGCAAAGTGGACTTGGCATGTTTTTAGAGTTTTCTCTGTAATAATAGGGTGAAAAAATTCCATAAAACCTGAATTTTTGGTTACAGTTTCTCTGCCATCTTTTTAGCTGGACTCTGCTTCATGATTTTTCTAAATCTGCAGCTTCGTCTCCTACTTTCAGTAAACATCAGCAAGAAGTGGACTGAATTTGCTAACTGAAGAAAAAAAAGGATCCAAAGTATGAGTGAGTGAATGCAGTTTTTATGGACTGGAAGTCAAAATCGGTGTCAGGAAGTGCTGTGTATGTGGAAGAAGGAGTTGTCATGGAATCTAAAAAAACAAACGTGAATGTTTGCTTACAGATGTAATTCCCTGAATTTGTAAAGTAGTCTCCTCAATTGTCTGGGGATGTGGTGTGGAAGGCACACTATTTGATATCTTTGAAGCGTGATGCACTTGGAAATGCAGTGGAGGAAAGAATTCCTACAGAGAGTTATGAAGTGGAAATAATGTAAAACCGTATGTGTTTTCAACTTCTGTCTTTTATGAATGTGTGTGACTGAGAGGATAAAATTCAAATTTATCTTCTTCATCAATTTCATTGGAAGTGGGAATTAGAGTAAGAAACGCTGTATTCAAAGCCAGAGCCCAGCCTGAATTCCACAACATTAATTTGCTCTCTTATGAGGAAAATTATCACCACTGCACATTTTCAGGAGGGCTTATGAAAAGCAAACAAAAGGGGAAAATAACTTTCCACAATAAATCATGAGCAGGCAGCCTAGAGCGTCGTTTCCGTGTTGATACACAGAAACCAGACCTTATTGGCTGGTTGTGAGATTGCTTAGATTAAATGTCACTAATTGTTAGGGCTTGAAACAGAGCCAGATAAAATCAACAGGAACATTTTGTCTCTAGAGGTTTTGGAGTAGCATAGGTGGGAAATATCTGTCTGCATTTTATTTGAGAACCTAGGCTGATTGTTTTTTTCACATATAAGTAGTTTCTCCTATATTTTAGCCTCCTTTGAAAATACTCATTCTAGAAAATATGGCCTTGGATATTTTAGCTAAACTTTCAGTTTTCAGCTGTGCTGATATATGATCCATGTCTCTGACTCATTGCAGCAACTATTTTACTGATAATCTAGGGGTATTTAAGTGAAAATTCAGTAATCATCATTGTTGTTAGCTGGGGACGGAGACAGGCTCCTTTAGGGAACATTTAATTTCATCCCGGTACAAGCAAGTCTACCAGGGATGCCTTGCTCTTTCACTTGGGTGGGGAGGGAAAAGCTTAACGTGGCCTTCAGTGCTAAGGAAATACCAAACTTACTGACATCACAGGTTCATACATTTTATGGGGTCTATGATCCAATGTTGGAAGAGATATTATTCCTCCTAAGTAAAACCCTAAGAAAGAGGCTAGACCAGTTACCCAGAAAACAAGGTGAGATTGAACCCATGTTTGTAGAGGTGTCATAAACTGTAGTTCAACATATAGCAGTTATCCATAATTGATTTTTAAGCTTTTGTAAATGATTGTTACATATTTCTATTTTTTTTTTATCATGGCATCTCAAAACTTAGTAAATCCTAACTGAGATGTCTGAAAGCTTTGTAAGACAATTTTGTGAGTACCTTGTATACTCTAATGTATGTTAGAACTGGCAATTGATACTGATCTTTATGGCATGTTATCCTGAACAACCAGCTCTCACAGCTGGCTTTGAGCAGTATGTGAATCAGAACAGGTTTATAAGTTATATGTTAAAACAGTTTTAAATTGCAAGTTTTTACAATGGATCTCTGACAGATTTTAAATTTGAATGGTGACTACATAGGTTTTGCTTTTGGTGGGGTAAATCTAAATGGCTTTATTCTGCTTTTAGTAAAGAAAAATATTTAAATTAATAAGGAATCTGATTGTAGAAGTTCTTGAGATTTCAGTTACTGGAAGCTTCACTAGGGAAGTCTGAAGCCAGAAGAAAACAGGCTAATGTGCTGTGCAGATATCTTGCATTTTCCCTGAACACAGGGCTCACTTTTGACAATGTTGTAGTCTCTCTGCTGTTTGTCAAAGCCAAGGTGCAGCCTCTTCCAATGGGGCAAATGTTTGTTAAAAAAATAGTGATGTTAAAATGTAAAATTAATGATTTCTGCTTCCACTGGTTGCCTGTTTTCTTGGGAAGTACCACCACCCTCATAAACAGCCAGAAAAATGACAGAAAACCCCCAATCTCAGAGTTGAAGTTTTAGCAGCAACTGGAATCCCTCTTAGTAGTTAATGGCTGGTGAAAAGCTGAATTACTGTACTGGAGCACCTGACTGTGTAACTGATCTTCTCTCATAATAATAATAATTATTATTATTAATAATAATAATATCAACACTGCAGTTCTTGGTTAGCCAGCTGGTGCTGGATTTGCCCAAGACTGATTTTCTCAAGAGAGCTGGCAGCAGGACTGAGGCACAGGCCATAGTGCCAAGGATATTTGGTGGAGCTTGTTTGCACTGTGACTCAGGACTGTGACTGTCCAGTTGAGGGTGACTTGCTTTTCTGGCTTGTCGTAAACAAGTTTAAAAAAAGAATTATGAAGGAACTAGTTTTTGTATATGCTCTGCATATATGTGTGTATATAAAGTACAGTTTTATATTGTTCTGCTGACATGTAGTGTTTTCTCGCTATGTCTGGTTCTCATATACTACACATTGTATTCTGTAAGTACATTTTTCTGTTAATGATCATTTCACCTTTGTGAACTTAAAGTTGTGGATCAAAGGTAGCAAGAAGATAGAGATATGCATAGGTACAATTTTTGACTTGCCATTCTTGTGCATGAAATGGCATATTCTAGAAAATGTTTGTCTTGCAGACTGAGAAATCTAAAAACAGCCATTATTATTCAGGAATTGGAACTTAGAAGTAATAAAGTGACACTCAAAAAGCTTACTATTTTTGCTCACAGTACAACATGTTATCTAAATTGCTGCAATGTGAGTTGTATCAATACCTAAAAAACTTATTTGTCATCCCATGTCTTCACTAATCCTTCATGGCACATGGGAATAAGTGTGATTAGATAGATTACATATGTGAGCATTCTGGCTGTCATCAGACTGTTTCACTACAGTGATATATTTTACTAACCTACCCTTAATTATTTAAACCAGAGTCAGTGATAAATTTCCAGTTTAAAATCACCTGCTCGGTACTCTTCCTCTGTTTTGTTTATATAAGGGCTTTGATTGGGCTGGACCCACTCGCTTCATGTATGGGATGCTGCAATCTGTTAATACTTTACCTTCTGTTTTACATATTAATTGTATCATACCTAATAATATTTTTCCCCTAAAATGTAGTTTTTGTGTTTTATTTAACCTACAATGATTAATGCTAATAAATGTTTTAAATTTCTCTGAATTGGGGCTATCTCTGGTTTCAATAAAGCAGAACAAAATAGCTCCTATTTTGCACGTCCTTTGCTCTTGGAAAAGGGCTGTCTGCAGTCTGTGGATTACTTACCTGGGATTTAAATGCTGCTTGAAACGTGTGTGGATGGCCTTTTAACAGAAAGTGAATGCATTCCTGGGGGATCCTGCAGTCCAGATGAACTCCCAAAAACAAGAAAAAGAAGATTTGAAAATCCTTTTGCTAATATTTGATTTATCCATTTGAAGAGAGGGACCCGAGTGGCCAGCATCTGCTTAGAAATTTAGAATAGTAGCTGTCAGTAGAAAGTGAGCTTCCAGTTACCACTTGCTTTAAATAGGAGCAATGACTAGTATGGCTTGTAAGACACTTCATCTTTTGTATGCTTTTATTTTGGTGTACATTTATTTTTTTGCCCTACTTTATGTCCCTCCCTCAGACTTGTGTCTAGAAGAATTAACACTCTCTTAAGAAATATGCAGTATTTCATTCCCTTTGGTGCTATTGTTTCAAGAGGTATTTAACTACACCAGCAGATTTTTGCACTGTTTGTTTCATATTTTCACAGTTATTACAACAACTATGAGGACTATGAATGAAGGGCTGGGTTTTTAAAGGAAAAACAGGCTTTTGGAGTAAGACTTTTCTGACTGCCATGATAAATTCAATACATAGCAGTATGCAAGAAGCAGTATAACTCAAATAACAGCACAGAACACCACTTTTCTGTGTAATGAGAAACCAGTGTTTCAAAGAGGTTTCATATGTGGTGAGTTTAGTTACTGCTGGAAGACACACAGGATCTGTTCCCTGCTTTAAAGGAATTACAATTATCTTGAAAAAATGTATCTTACCTCTAGCTGTGCATAAACAAGAAGGAACCCAGGTACATAACTGTAAACTAAAGGGTGATGTACTTAATTAATGGAACTCTTAAGCCCCTTAACTATTGTCTGTGTGTTGGAAGATCTGAAGTGAATGCTGTTTTGCCCTTAGGTGTTTGAAGAGAGTTGTGCCCTTGAATGGATCAGTCCTTGTGTTGTCCGTGGGATGTTTTGCATGGCCTGGAAGCATGTGCTTGTGCTGCTCTAGGTTGAAGTTGAATTTAGCAATGAGAGGGGAGCTATACAATTGACTGGAAAATAAATCTCCTCTGCTTTCCTTTTGAAGATTGAAGGTTGTGTCTCAACGTACTTAAGGAAAAGTATTTGACATTTCAGTCTACAAAATCTTCACCACTGCAGCTTCAGTCTCTGCAAAGAACATCATAGGACACCCTGCTGTGATCTCCTGACCACTGCACTGAAATCAGGACAGCAAGGCTGATGAAATACTCTGTGTAGCTACTTCATACCTCCACCCCTTCACCTAATCTGCAAAACTGTTCAGGCCACTACCAGGTTTCTCTCCTTTCCCTGAAAGGAAAACAGTAAGCTGCAGTATTATTTTTTATCCCCTCTCGGTGTTGTTTTATACAAGGCTACAGAATAATTTTCTTTAAAAATGTAAAAACACTCATAGGAGGAGAGACTAGCTAAAGGTGTTGTACAAATGCCTTTGTTAATTGGTGCTGGTTACTCCCTAAGGACTTGACAGCAATGATAGGATGGATGTCTTCATTGTGTAATGGGGTTCTTGGCCATCAATAAGGTCCTCTTTTGGTCTCCTGTTTTTTGCCAGCTGGACCAGGGATAAAATCATTGCTTGATATAAATGCTCTCTCACTGTCCAAAAGTAAGACTTTTCACCAAAAACTATGAAATCAATAGCTAGCCACATTTAACAGGTTAAAGATGAGAAAGAATAAGTAATAGCATACTGTGGCATAATGTAGCTTTTTCATATCTATTTCAGGTGGGTTTCTTGTGTTTCAGTTAAGAAGAGTCCTTATTGCAAAATGCCTGTATTTCTGATACAGCCAAGTGGGTCATGATGCAGATTAGTTTGCCTTATCACCTACCACTGCAGTGTATTTTGTTCAAATAGGAACACAGGCTCTTGATACTCATTCATAATCCTTTTGTTTTCAAGACATAGCTCTAGAAATGTTACTGAAATTGTTTTGTAACACAGACATTGTGAAAACTTGAAGATAGTACACTGACAGAACTTGAAGTGTAAGAGACCTGTACAAACTTGCATTTAGTGTCACACCAATTAACAAGTTTTTAATAAGATATCGTTATTTAGTGTGGAGAAGAGAATTTTGAGGCTCCTGGTTAGGTATTAAACATTTAACAGCTTGGGAAGGATTTCTTTTATCTGGCTGTTAAATTACTCATTTTTTATCCCTGAGACTGCCTGGAAGACTTAAAAAAAAAAAAAAAAAAAAAAAAAAAAAAAAAAAAAAAGCTTTCTTTGAAAAGTACTGACCTTGTTTTCTCAAAACCTCCTGGAGAAACCAAGCTTTCTCTCTCCCATCATCTGTCAGAAGTTTTTTGAGACACACCTTATTTATGATAAAACACTCAACCATTCTGTTTGCTACACTGGGAATTTTAGAAAACAAAAATGCCTTTCCCCTGAAGTCCATTTAATTCACATTTGTTTTACTTAGTGCCATTCCTGCTCCATCCACAGCAGTAAAATACATGTTTAAATAAGAAGATAAATACCTAACAACTAAATCCCTATTCCCCTACATCAAGTAGAGTACCGTGGGGAAATTTTCTGTTACAGACTAAAACAGAAATGATCCCTACGCTTCCGATTACATATTGACAAGAACCAATCAATAAGAAAGTCAGCTTACATGTCTGAGAGATGCCCTTGAGGAAAATGAACATCACATTCCTTCCTCTTGGTCAATATAACATGACTTGGTGGGAACAAGTGATAGCATTGTTGTTACTGATGAAAAATAAATTAAAAATGTTTAGGAGGATAGCAACAGTTTCTCTTCACTTGTTTAATAGGGTTAAAATGTAGGTTAATCATCTTACAAAAGAAATCCCTGTTACCTGTCATCTTCAAAGACATTGGCAGCTTTGCTGACAAATATGTGTTGGGAGTTGTCACAGGGGTTTAGCAAGAAAGAGCAATGGATGCAGCCTGGATGACACAATGCATTTCTATATTCTAGCTCTGCAAAAAACCACGTCATCACCAAGCCTATAGAATCACTACCAAATATCCAAGCTCTTGTGTGTGTTCATCACTCATAACATGGGAAAATTTTGCAACATAGATATTTGCCTAAAAAGAATAAAATGTGTAGAAGTAATCTAATAAGAGCCCTCAGAAAGAAGGACATTCAAAATAAAGATGTAGCTTTTCTGTGCTATTTCTTGAGACAGTCAGAAACACAAATGAGAATTAAATAGCTTTCCTGGCAGCATTCCCTTTAGAGATACTGTTTGTCCTATGAGTTTTGCCACACTCTGTAAGTCACTCCTGATTCTCAAGGAAAATTTGCTTTCAAGGTGGCAACCTGAACTGCCTGCTGGCACCCAACCAGCTCCCCTCCTACACTGCAGCCTTTGACACCCAAATGGTTCTCCCAATAATCTCAGTAAGAAGGGACAGAAGTCTTGAGATGTGCTGGAAATATGAACTCATTTTGATGTACGAAAAGGTTTCAACAGTTTGTTTTCTTACAATAAAGATACCAGAAAAGCAAACAATTTTTTAATATATATAAGTTTTTTACTACAGTATTTTTTCTCCTGCAGTGTTTTAGGTCTGAAATTTCTGGAGGAAAAATAGGTTTCTTGGAATGAGAATGAAGCCAGAATGTCTTGTTGATTACAAAATTTGAAAAGGGAAAATAATGTTTAGAACTGAAAAGA